GGGATCGAACTCTGGTCCTTGCACTTATGCAGCAGGCAGCGAAACCACTGAGCTAAATCCCCAGCCCCAACATTTACTTTCTTATAAATGAGCTGGAATTTGTGGTTTGGAAATGGATTTTTCTGGGGGTTTGGGATTATCCCAGGTATGCAGTGGAGGATTTAGCTGGGTTGCTGCTGAGTCTTTTGGGTCATGGGGGCTGAGGATTAGCAGCATTGGGATGACATCAGACCGGAAGGCAGGGATGACACCCCCGCCCCTTCCCTCCCCATGTCCCCTCTAGTCCCTTCCGGGGTCCTCAGCTGGGGATGGATGGGGTAAGGTCCGAACTGTGCTCCCCCGGGGGTCCGCTCCTCTCCTTGGGGGCTTTATGTCTCTCTCTCCCCACCTGCAGGTCCCGAGGGCTGTAACCTGTTTATCTACCACCTCCCCCAGGAGTTTGGAGACACGGAGCTGACCCAGATGTTCCTGCCCTTCGGCAATATCATCTCCTCCAAGGTCTTTATGGATCGGGCTACCAACCAGAGCAAGTGTTTCGGTGAGTCACCTGGAACATATTGAGAGCCTGCTGTATACCCGGCAGTTCCCACGCAGCCTTTGAAACTCATTCATCCATGCCCTTTTCATCCAACACTTAGTGCCCCCGGCCCCCTTCCGGGTCCTGTTTCCAGAAAGATAGGGGAATTTTAAGAGGAAAGCCTACCTGCTCTCTCTTGAAGGTGTGACTCTGAGGGGCCCTGTGTCTCCTCTGAGACTCAGTTTGCTCAGTTAGGTAATGGGGCAGATAGAGACAACAATAAACACAGGAGGCCATCGGGGCCTTGCTGTGCAGGTGGGACCCATGCACAGAGAGAGAGGGAAAGGTATTAGGGCCAAGAACCCACCCACACACAGCATCGGATGGAGAGACAGGGCATAGAGTTCTTACCGAGATAGAGGCCCCAGCTGTCCAGGGCCGGGGGAGGGGGTTCCTCTCTGGAGATCAGACAGAGCGAGCTCCCCATCCCCGAAGGCATATGAGCCCAACAGTATCAGCACAGAGTCAGGGCTGCTGCTGCGTGTCCTCTGGCAAGTCCGCCTGCCCCCCCCCCCAGGACCCCGCAAGCAGCAGACGCCCCTGGCACCCACCACCGCGGTCCACCCCGGTCTCTGCAGGATTCGTGAGCTTTGACAACCCGGCCAGCGCACAGACCGGCATCCAGGCCATGAACGGCTTCCAGATCGGCATGAAGAGGCTCAAAGTACAGCTGAAGCGGCCCAAAGATCTGGGACACCCCTACTGACCGTGCCCACAGCCACCCTGAGGCTGCGGGCCTGGCCCAGGTGAGCCGCCAGGAGGCCCCATGCCCTGCCCAGCCCTGGTCTTGTCGGAACCCCACCCCTACCCCTCGCTTTTCCAAACTCTCGCTGGGTTTGGTTGGGTTGGCAGGGACGGAGCTGGACTAAGACACCCCCCAATAACTGTGGTCAGGGCTGGAACGGAGGGTGGGATGGGGATGGGGAGGTCGGGAGAAGCTGGGGTTCCCCACCAAGTTTGGCTAGGCAAATCCATCCTGGAGAAGGTTTTGAGGGATGAATAGGAGTTCTCTGGAAAAGGCAGGTTTGGCCTGGGGTGGAAGGTGCATTGGGGAGGGGCTTCTTCTGTCCTGTAACCCCCTAAACCAGAGGGGGGAAATGTTAAATGTGCATTCCAGACCCTGCCCCTAAGGTTGGACCCCAAGATGCCCAGCTCAGCTTGGAACCAAGGCTGGAGCCCAGGAGATGGGGACAGCCCCTTGATGCCCTCCCTGTCCCCCTCTTCTGTCCCCACCAGCCCCAACTTCCTCTAGGATAATCCATCCCCATTGGGTTGACCCTGCTAACGAACGTGCAAAAAAAACCCCAAACGAACAAGCAAAACCTACAAGTTTATTTTGCCATCAGAACAAAGAACTTTATCGTGTTCCTTTGGGGACCAAGCAGTAACCCTAAGAGGCCACCATGGAACTGTAACCCTGATCCCCAGTCCCAGGGACTCCAGCTGTAAAACGGGTTCACGGGGAGCCCGCGGGACAGAGGGTGCTTCTCCTGGCTGAGCCCAGAATCTGCCCCTGAAAGGGCTCCCTCCGTCTTACTCGTTTTGATTTGGGGGTGTAATTTTAAGATGTCACCACTGCTGTCATGAGAGCCTCGCGAGGCCTGGCACGAAGTAGCTGCACAGTTAGTCAGTGTTCGGGTCACGCAGGTGTGCGTTGGGCCAACCGGAAGCAAATCCAGGGCCACTGTCTGCATTTGTCCACGTCTTACCCTCAGCCAGCAGATCCTCCCTGAGCTCCTAGTGTTTGCCAGCCACTGTTCCCAAACTTGGGGACTTGGCCTCGAACAAACAAAAGAAACAAAAGGAGGGGAATGGGAGGGGCAGAAATTACTTTCTGGAGAAGGCCGGGGATTTAGCTCAGTGGTTCTGCTGCCTGCCTTGCAAGCGCAAAGACCCGAGTTCAATCCCCAGTACCAAAAAGAAAAGAAATTACTTCCTGGAGTTTCAGTGACAGGGTCTAGGGACTGAGAAGGAAGGACAACAGTTTAGCACCGGAAGTCCTTTCTGAGGTGGGTGTGTCAGCCTCGGAACCCTGGGTTTGCTTTTCTGAAAAATATAGCGGGTCCTTGGGCCCTCAGACCCCAGCCCCTGGGAAGGTGGCATCTTCCGCCTGTGTCCCTCCTAACACCATCCCTTCTCCCCCAGGCAAGGGGCTCCCACCCCAGGAAGGTTGTCCCGCTTCCAACCCAACCAGGACTTTCCCATAAGTTACAGCCGTGTTCGGACACCAGCCCTCCCCTTCCCTCCTGTCCCCACCCTGTTCAGCCCAAAAATGTGAAACGCTTCTCAGAACCCAGTGCGGAGCCCCGAGATCTGTCCTGGGTAGGGGGACAGGGTCTCCTGTGTTGGGGCCAAAGAATTCATACACTGCCACCCCCCACCGTCCACCCGGGGACATTTCCTCACTCTCCCCCTCACCCCGGCTTGCTGGCTTCCCCCAGTGAAATCACACCTTTCCCTATATATATATGAGCGTATATATAGAGAGAGCTAGAGACAGTATATATATATATTTTTGAGTATAGGTCATGGGGCCAAACTTTTCTGACTTCCTAACACCTGAGAGTGGATGACCCTGAGCCGGTCACTTGGAGGGGACCAGGCTGGCTGGGCGGCCCAGTGCCCGTCCGTGACCCCCGGTGGGGACATCAGACCAGGACGTGTCCCCCATTACCTCTGGGCCGCCTGCCGGGTCCTCCGGCCACACTCGAGGGGTCTGAGCACCAGGCCCTGCCTTGTCGACCCTCCGCCGCCTCCTAGCCCTTCTCTGTCCCCAGCCCTCTGTCATAGCCTTATTCGAGTGACCAATAGCCCTTAGCTTTCCGTTGTGGGGGACAGCCGGGTGGGGGTGTC